CGATAGGCAATTCTGTATTAGGTAAATCAGGCGCACACACACAATTTGTTCGATTGAAAATATATATATAAGAGGTTTCGAAAGACACAGCTTGAGCTGTTGGAGGTCTCACTCTATAATATAGAGCATATAGAGATAAATGATTTTTATTACATTTTTGTACATCTAAATAAAAATATATAGCTTTAGCATTTAATAGCTTGATTTGAAATACTGGGAACATTTATAGTTGATGTTTTAAAATTCTGAATCATGCTAAGAGAGATAGACAGAGAAAGAGACAGTGATAGACACAAGACATAAATAATTTGCATTAATTTACACACAAAAAATACAAATTTACTAATTGAACTTATACTAGCGATTCAAATAACTTAAAAAGTTGGAAGCATTAAGCTGAAGAACATTCTTAAAGCATAAAATTTGATATATAATTTACTCTTTTAAATAATTTAATAATAACAATTATAAGTAATGCAAGAATTAAGTCAATTTTGCTTTAAAAATATCCTTCAACTTGAGTGAAACGAAATAATTCATAGCAATTACAACAACTGGCAAAGCTATTTTTTTTTTCATTTTTTTATTTTTTGTTACTTTTTCTTTAAAGTTTTTAGCGTAACTTTACGAAAATTCCTTTGCTTTTGGTGTTTTCATTTTAATTACTTTTAGAAGCAAATACCAATAATTCTCTTAGTTTTGTTACATTCAATTTACCCAATACAGTATTGCTGTCCAGCCTTCCATTGTGATACATTGGAATACAGTCAACATGGCAAACCCGATATTGTCAAAACTAGTTATGCCAGAATTTGGTCCATCCCACTTTTCCAGACACATACTCGTATTATAATTACATACATATGAACCACCTGCTTTATCATGTATATTATCCGTATTACAAGGCGTCTCCGATTCGCCTTCCTTAACAGGTTTATCTGAAATCATATAACATTATTTAGTTTCATTATTCAATATGAAAAATTCAATGATATAATATTTATTAAATGTTTACTTGGATCTTCTAAACTATAACAAGTCTTATGCAGTGCGCCCGAATAGAACTCGAGTCCAATGATTGCAAATATAACGATGGCAAACAAGACCAAAAGTCCGATTTGAAGCAACGGTGCCATTGCCTTGATAATAGATTTTAAAACTACTTGTAAACCTGGTTGACGTTGTAGATTCCATTTCATTCAGTTTGTAGATACAGCGACGTTGGAGTTAGTTAATAAAAAAAATTGTATTAGTAAAAGGTTGTGATAAGTTGTTTAAAAACAAAACAATTAAAAATCAATTTTATCTATAACAATATTCTATGCTATTTATGTATTACAATCTGAGCGAATGGTTAGTAGTCACTAAATTGTTGTAGCTCAAAATGTAGCACATTTCTATAACAACAAATAAAAATAAATAACTATTATTTAAATGATGAAATAATATCTCTTTAGTTATATACTTTAGAATAAAGCTAAATATAGTATCCCCAATAAAAATTATTCACAAACATTTTATTTCCTTCAAAATGTATTAAATCCCAAAACATATCTTGGAGGCTTTATAACACATAAAAGCGGAAAAGGGAAATAAGTTGGTGTCAGAATCAATGAAGCTGAAGATACTTTTATTCAACTTAAATGATATAGATTTATAATCATATGTCTATCTTTATAAAACTTCGCATATTCAATAAAAGCATTTTTATTTTATGGAAGTGATATATACATGGAAGTGAAACTATTCCCATTCAATCCATAACTCATATCTTTATAAAACAATTTCTACGTAGCATCTTGTGTATCTGGTAGCCCTAGATATTGTACAAAATCGATTCATGCGCTCAGACAGACGAAGTTAAAGCAACAGATTAAATGCATAAATCCAAATAGGGTTGGATAGGATTCACTTTAAGAGGTTTAAATAGCAATACGATTCAAAACATTACTTTATCTATTAAGATTTTCAAATCGTTGAGTTACAATGATGGAACTTATTTTCTGGTTCTTCATGAAAAGAGATATTATACCAATCATAACCACTAGGGTTTATAGTTTATTTTCTGTGAGAAAATCTAAATGTAAATAATCATAATACAATGAATGTACTTGTTATAATTACAATTCAATGGGAGTTTGAAGTACAACCAATTAAAGTGATCGTCCTTTTATTAAAGATTCTTGGAAATTATTAAAACATTTATTTGGTTTTTCATTTAATTCTCCATTAAAATAAATTCGTAGCTTGGGGCCAAATTTTTTATATTACTAATTTAAATTAAATATTTATATATCTTCTTCAATCTAATCGATATCAACATCAATCTAATAGATATTATTTCATTATTTATTTCATTACTATTCTAAAACTAAAAATTTTTAATAAAATGAATTAATCTGATTAATTAATTAATTTTGTTTTTAG